ATGTCTGGTCAAGGCCCTCCTCGGGGAGGCTGTCTAGGGATGGGAAAGGTAAGTGGATGGTAACAACCAATTTCAGCTCTAATTATGTATATATTTGCTTGGAAGGGCATTTCTCTCCTAATAAAGCTACAGCAGCCAAGAGGGAAGTAAACTGTTAAGGAATGTTTTTAGAAAAGATTATTCCTGTGAGGGTTCGATAAGTATTGGCCAATTATGATACTTCCTAGTAGGTGGTTATTTTATATAATTACAGCGCTGAAGCAAATCAGCTTCTTAATGCCCACCTATGGATGCCCAGTACTGGGCGACCATAGGGAGCTATATAGGATGGTAGACGGTGTACTGGATTGCACATCAAGAGGGGAGGCTGGCTTCCAGTGCTCTCTCTGTACCTAACCAGGGACTCAGAGCAACTCGATTCAGCTTTCCAGATCTGTGTTCCTGTTTGCTAAATTGGGGTTTTGGGGTGGTATTATGGACTGAATGTTTGTGTCCCCTCCAGATTCATATATTGAAGCCCTAACCTTTAATGTATTTGTATTTGGGGACAGGCCTGCAAGGAGATGATAACGGTTAAATGGTGCCTTACGAATGGGCCCTAATAAGAGGCAGAGACACCAGAGCTCCCTCTCTCTCTCTGCCAGGTGATGATGTGAGGATACAGCTGGGAAGACTCTCTTCCTATAAGCCAGAAAGACAACCTTCGCCAGAAACCAAACATACCAGCATGTTTATCTTGGACTTGCTAGTCCCTAGAGTGCTGAGAAAGAAATATGTGTTGTGTAAGACACCTGGTCTATGATATTTTGTCTGGCTGGCCAAGAAGGTGGTGATGACCAGCTAATTAAAATGACATACTTGTTTGTAGTTTATAAAGTACTTTTACAAACTCATTTTCTTAGAGAAACTCTAAGAGGTGGGAAGAGCAGAGTATTATTTTACAAATATGGAAACACCTCAAATCACAAGGCTACCATAAGGCTACTAAGTGGAATTCAGTCAGATGCAAACCTGAATCTTTGAGCACCTTTAGCTGTAAATGGCTGTGGTTTTCTTGTTTTTAATCATCATTACATTGGATATCTATGAATTTTAGTTTTTAGGTTTCCAGGTAACTCCCAGGTGAAGAATGTCAGATTTATCGCAAGTGATACATATATTTTTTCTCTTCAGAACTACAAGAGTTGTTTCCTTTGACTAGATAGTCTCAAAGGTCTAGATCAGCAGTGAGAACTGAGGATTTAGTTGTTGGGCCCTACTTGGACCTGACCTGCAGAATCAGAAATTCTAGGGGGTGGGTGGGACCGAGCAATTCCTGAGAAGCCCTTAACGGGATTCTGAGGCTGCTAAATTTGAGAACCGCGGTTCTGATCATGCACACCTTTGTTACAGGTTGACATCTGACATTTCCCTGCCTTATTGTACTTATGGGTATGCAGCTGCAACTCTGAGTCCTACAATCAATCTACGGCATACTGTTAAAACTATGTTGAAATGCTTGAACCTACAAGTGTATCCTCTTTACAGTGACAATATTCTATAATTTTGTGTTAGCCTTTGTTACTTCCTTTGTATCTGCTTGGAATTTGGAAACATTTTAGAAAAAAAGTTATCTTGGTCAGCATATCACAAACTTTGAATTAAACTGACTCTATTCTAATTAAAATAGTAATTTCAAAAAGATTTAAGTTACTATTTATTCAAAGTGGCTAATGTTTTTAATCACTTACGCAGGGTACTTGACCATCTACTCCCCCACACTGACCCCTGACATCTCAGTAACTTCAAAGGAAATTCACCTGTACCTGAGATCTATTCCTAAACAAGAGGCACCCCCATTCAATCAGGAAAGAATATTTTAATAAATAATAAAAATAACCAAAATACATATATAAAATTTCTTTTAATATTTATCTTAGAAAGCCAAATATAGAACTAATTCTATTATTTTAATTATATGTAAATGTACAAATGTATATTATATATGTTACATAATTATACATATAATGAAATATATTTATATCAAATGTCTGGATTTTAGAGGTATAAAGATTTTTATCCAATGCATCCTTTGATTACTTTCCTATGCTTGGAGTTTGAAAACTAGGGATTTCTGGAAGAGAATATGGACTTCAATGTCAACATGGTCCATTTATATTTAAATGACTATAGAAGTGTGTGGGTGTGTAATTACATATTATGTGGCACCTCTTATTACTTTAGGACATCAACATTAACCTAAGAATTCTCTGGAACATTTTCCTATGTATCTCAAACAAATCTTGCCACTAAAATTTCACAAAGAGAAAAGCACAATATTGCCTTTTAAGAATAAAACCTACACATTTCCAAAATTACTTTTTCTCATAGAGAAATAATAAAGAAATCACCTTTTACCCCTTAAATGTGGGCAGCCAGAGTGAATAAAATCCTCATACTCTATGCTGCTTGTTATTAATGTGCTTACATAAGCAAAACTGTGGGCTTTCAGTGGACGCATAAGACTTACAAATCACATAACTGATAAAATGGCATGTAGCTTACACAGCGTTTGTAGAGTGACAGCTTCTGAATGACAGTTTCAATGAGCTTAGTGGACTTCTGACCATCACAGCACTCCAACTATTTTATTTATCTTCTTTAGATTTTCTTTTGGTACCATTTACTGAGATAATTTTGTAACTGTATGAAGATTGACTAACAAATTTCTGCCATGTTTCTGAAAAGACATATGGAGACTAAACTGAACATAAAGATTCCTCCTCCCCTGACAAAATATGTATGATAATTATGAGATGAAGCAATATTAGAAAAAAAGTATTTCACACACATCCACTCACAAACACACATGCACTTTTAATGTTGATCTCTTAAACTCAGTAAGAATTTTTAATAGTGTTATAAAGACTAATTAGAGTGTTTTCCCAAATATTTTACTTTGAGGTGTCAATGCTGTCATTGTTTCTACCTAGGATTTACTCATTACATCAACACCAAATAAACCTTCCCCAAAAGGAGGGACTACTTTTTACTGCCAACAGCAAACACCAAAGCCAACTCATATTCATAATTACTCATCTTTTAAAATATGTTTTGACATGAATGACTCAGTAAAGCTGGGTTACTGCCAACTGGTGCCAACTGGTCCAGTGGCACCAGAGGAAACATGAGAACTAGAGAGTCAACAGTGACTGAGAAACTCAATCTTCTCTCATCTGATCCAGGTAAGAAAACTGCTATTTTCTGAAGAAGCAGGGGAGTAGTTTCTAATTTTTAAAAGATTCTTTAACAGTTAACAAAATGTGTTTAGGCATAACAATATAAATTTGTGAAAAGTGCAACAACAGAAAAACAACAACTCTCTTTTCTGAATCCCCGAATTCACTTAAAACAAAAATAAGCCTCAGGAAAAAATGAAGAAAAGAAAGAAAATCAGCTCTGGCAGTAGAACAACACTAAAGAACTACAAAAAGAATGGGAATTTAACTTCTTCATGATTAAGAGAGAAATAAAAAAAATAACACTTTTCATTTTCATAGAGATATGTATGGGTATGTGAATTCTCATAATATACTCAGTTGTATTTTACTTTTTTTACGTTTTCCAGGGAGGTTCAGTCCTTCCATCAGAATGCCATGGTATATGGGAAACAGAGATCACACACCCAAAGAAATTAATCTGACACAGTTAAAATGATAGCTAACCAAAAAAAAAAAAAAAAATGATAGCTAACAGCCCAGCAGAGCACTCAGGCTCCGGCCCCACTTATTAACTGAACTGACAACTTGGCCCTAAGCAGAAACACAGGGCCAAATCCAACATTCTTCCACCCTGCTTTACTCAGGAGCGGCGGAGTGAAGATAAGGCAAGAAAAGCCTGCCTGCAGTTTGAGTGAACCCCGAAGTCTGGACATACTCTGCACCTCCTGGGGAGATGCTTTGCTCGGCCAGTTTTCCCTGGATAGTACTTCAGTAATCACAATTACTCCAGACCTAACAGGCCAGTCTGCAAGTCAATTGTTCCTGGTTGCTCTCTTCTGATGGTCATTTTCTCTTTTATTCAGAAACAGACACAATGGCCCCTTTAATGCAATCACCATGATGCAAAACAAATGGCATGATTAGGAAACTGTCCAAATTCAACTTGGCTTTCTGTAACTTGCTGACTGCCTTCATTCCAATAGCTTCATCTATTCAGATCTCTTTGAATTATTTCTCTATCTCTACCTGAACTTACGTTGAAATCATCAGAATCACAGCCACTTACACATGAAATAGATACGTAGTTCTCTGTCTCCTTGATAATTAACAAAGACGTTAAGGGCTAATGCCAATTCCGTGACATGAGCTGGATACCTTCCATTTCCTGGTATGCCATTGTTTATGGTCTATTAAGCAGTTTTCATTTCACCTTATGGGCCCGTATAAAATACAAGTTAGATGTTTCTCAAATTACAAGAAGTTTTAAAGACTATTAACTAGCTTCTTTTTTGGTTTGTTTTGAAATTTGAACTCTCTAAATTTACTGCAGACAGTCTGTGAAAGTAAACTGGGCAATATGTTTTAAACTTCTCAGTTTTTGAAAGTCATTTATCCCCCTCCTCCTAAATTATAATTGTTTTACACTAATAGTAGCATTTCTCATTTTCAAAATAATATACCTACTGGTTCTTGTTTAAATATTTTTTCCAAACCAAACTGTCATTGTTGTACTGATTCATTTTTTCAAGTAGGGTTTTCAATTCCCAAACATTCTCTTATTTTGCTCTATTTTATTTTTCTTCATTCTTACATACAGGACATACATGCTGACATCATGCAGAAGTCAGTGCATTAGAGGCCTTAGACAGAGAGGCCTAGCGGCTCTCAAAATCTATCTTATGCAGGCCTCAGTTAGTCAGGCTAATACAGCTGCCAGGGCAGAGCTGAAAGCTCAAAGGGCTCACAGTTGTCAAAAATCTACAATGCAACAGTAGAAAATGTATGTAAGCATTCACTTACCTGCTTTTGATCGACAATTATTTCCAGGTCTTCGTCACTGCTTAATTTTCCATATCCTTTTTCTTTACTTTTCTTGTGAAAGAATAATTTTAAATGATCATTTAGTTTCTTTCCATTAATAACGTTAATTCCTACTTAATACTTTTTAAAGATAAAAGTCTGTACTTAACCTTGTTCACTAGTCATAATACATCATTCTTTATCCCAACCTCTCATGGACAGTAGCAAATATTTTTATTAAACTGCTGGCTTCTGCTTAGCCTCTCCCATCCAAATTATACCTTTAATCCTTTTCTGAATATTGTTATGCTTCTTTTTCAATTCTATAGTTTCAGAAAAGATTCTTTAATAATTCAAGATAAATAATAAATTCCTTAGAGTCCTAGGGTATTTTTCTCAAACACTGAAGCTGCATTTAGTGGTCATATTATGCTTAAGACTTCAGGTACTAAATATTTTCTTTTAATCCTTCATATATTTTTAAGAATAAGCAAGTATAACACCACTCAGATAATGAATCTTCAGATTTTCTATGTGCTGTGCCATGCTTAGTTGCTTAGTTGTATCTGACTCTTTGCAACACCATGCACTGTAGCACACTAGGCTCCTCTATCCATGGGGATTCTCCAGGAAAGGAAATACCAGAGTGGTTTGCCATGCCCTCCTCCTTGGGATCTTCCCAACCCAGAGATGGAACCCAGGTCTTCTGCATTACAGGCAGATTCTTTACCATCTGAGCCACCACAGAAGCCCAAGAATACTGGTGTGGGTAGCCTATCCCTTCTCCAGGGGATCTTCCCAACCTAGGAATTGAACCAGGGTCTCCTGCAATGCAGGCTGATTCTTTACCAGGTGAGCTACCAGGGAAGCCCAAGATTTTCTATATTTGCCTATAAATTTGATGAAAACTAACATTGGAAGAGACAACTCAGAAATAATTTTTAAAAGGTAAATAAGAAAAATTTCAAAATTAGATAGCTTAAAAAGTTGGAAGAGTACAGGCCATTTAAAAAAATATTCTTTATCGGCATTTTTTCCTCCATCTATCTCTCCCCATAGCAAAAGTTATAAAGTTAGAAAACAACACAGATCATGCCAACAATTTTACTGTTGTGTTACAGGAGAGAGATAATATGTCTGAGCCATCTTTTTCCCCCTTTCTTCCAGTGCAAGGGTTAAAGGAAATACCAGGAATGACAGTTACTTCTTCATAATTTCAGAAATTATTAGTACCTTGCAGAGGACCAGTAAAAAAAAGAAAAGAAAATTCACTACCTAATTAGCTGTAATCCAAGATTGCTATCTTTAAAAAAGAAAAAAAAAAAACCCTGCTCAGTATTAACTATATCAACTAGAATTAAGGGAATTATAAATACTTATGTTTGCATCCACTGTGCCACATTAGGATCCTTGTCTCATTATGGGAAGAATTACATCCTTCAGCAAACATGACAAAAATCTTCTTTACATTATGGGACATGATTCTTGTCTGTTTTCTCTCCTATAACATTTCAAAAGCAGATTTCCACATTTCCCCACTCCCCCACCCCTGTAACAAACATACCTCCTATTTTTGTTTTTTCCCCTGTGATAGAGATTTCCTGAATATTCAAGTACTAGGATGCATAAATAAAATCTGAATTCTCATTCATATATTAATGAGTTTAGCCACTTAGAACAGAACAGATGGCCACAGTATTTCTATTATTATTCTTGTCCTCATTTGAGGTTCCATTTCAAGACTGATGGAAAACAAAAAGAACAAGGTTGGTTTCAATCAAACTGACTTCCTATCACTTTGCTTTAGTATCCCTTTAGTCCACTGGTCGCCGTAAGATATTGTCCAGAGACCCTCTAATGCAAATCATTTAGAAATGGCTTTACTGAATATTGATTCATATACGTACCAAGTAGCTTATTTGCATGACCCGATTTCTGGACAAAAGGACATTAAGTAGAGATGGAATAGGTGTCTTTCCATCCATTTCACTGTCAGACATCCCAGAATTCTTTGCACCAGCCGCAGTGGCTTCATTGCCAGAACTTGCTGACCAGAGAACCACAGATCTTGCCCAGCAATGGTGTATATAATGCGCCACACTAACCAAAGTATCCGCGGATCATTGTTTTGACTTTGTAAACATTGTGAAATCAATGAAACTAAAATTTCTTCTTTTCTAGCTAATGTTTATCCAAGTACTGCCATGTTCCCTGACTGATGTTCTAGTTTAATGCTCAAAAACCCCCTCCATCTATTATTAATTATACACATTTTTATATCTCATCTTATGCATATGGACTACTCAGCTTCTCTGTCAAAAAAGTTTTCAACTTTCCTTTCAATGTCCCACCCCAGACTATCTTGTGATTAGCAAATCACTACTAATAGATAAAACAATGTTGGCATTCACAGAACATAATTCAAGATTGCCCTTCCTGCCAGTACAGATTCTACTTCTCCAATTTAATCACAACTCCTTATCTGGTTTAGTACTAAATTTCCCCAGAAGGAGGCTAGATCAGGGAAGGAGATTATATTCCCAACTACTGTAAACAGAAGTTGGCATTTTCCAAGAGTGGGAGGAGGCATTTACATCTCTGGGTTTGTACTTAAGCTCCTAGTCTCCAAACAACAGACAACTGTACACAGTCAGAAGCTTTCCAGTTTTACTCTAGAGTTAAGCAATACTTTCTAGCTCACCCCATAACCCCATGGGGATTAAGCCTTTTCTAAGCCATCATGGTTATTCGCTCACTTACTGCTTATTTCTAGTGCGAGTATAATCCTCTTTCAAGCACTCAGCTTCCCACTTGGACTGCTTAGATCAGCCAGCCCAGGCAGGGATCTTCAGCTCTCCTCCCTCCTCCCAGCCGGGAATCCCTGTCTTCTATCTATGCACTTGGTCAAGCACAAAAAGCAACTCCATAGCTTCTGCGTGGTCTTTCACACTGGTCAGAGGACTGAACTAGAAGGAGAAAGAAAGCTAACCTCCCCACTGGCCAAGCGTGAGGAGGCGGGGCTTCTGGGGGAGGAGAAGTCAGAAGGGAATCACTTCCCGTGCTCCTCCCACCTCCCTGCAGCCACTGGAACTGAGCATTCCCACTGAGGCAGTGAGGTTAGGCCCCTCTCCTCCTCAGCCTGAGAGTATGCTACCTACTGAGAGCAGATTTTTGTGCACTGCCCCACTACATGCAGCTGAGAAGGCAGCATCAGTTCTGTGAAGTTGACACAGTGAGGACCTCGAGGTGGGAGAAGGGAGGAAAGAGAAAAATTGCTGAAAACGTCTCCCACTCCGTGAGAAGCTTTCAGCTCAGGATAAGTGTCCAATGTCTGACACTTCAAATACAGTATCTCCCCTCCTCCCCACACCATTATAAACCCTTTCTGAATAACTGGAAGGAGAACTATCTCGTTATATTTTTAGTACTGACGATTTTTTTTAATATCACTGGATCAGAGTTGCTGTTTTCTTAGGAACATTGAGCCTGATCATCTTTCTTCTCTGTAAATGTTCCATCTCTCTTTAACCTTATCCACTTCTACAAAAGTGAAACAGAAAGGTGGGTATAGTCACTTGAATTAAATAAACCATAAAACTTGGAAAATGTATAGAAAATCACATAGCCATGGATATAGAATATATTATGGAAGAAAATTTTGCAAGTAAGTAACAAAACAATAATAAAGTCTGATGGGATAGAGACCTGGAAAACGAAGCACCCAATGTTCTTTTTAGAAGAAGACTTACAAGAGTTTATGAAAAAGTGAGAGTTTTAACTGAAAGCCTCCAGTTGTGTATGGGCTGAATTAAAAGAACTCAACATATTTACTAGGAATGGAATATATAAGGGAAATTTTGAAATGGAAAGGAATATATGATTTAATTAATTGTGCCAATTAGCCTCAATTACAATTTTTGCCTAACTATAGATATGAAAATAAGTGTAAAGTTTTACATATAAATATTTCAAAAAATTTTATTGCTATTTCTTATTCACTACTGCAATGTGATAAACAGTAGACCTGATATTTATTAAAGCAAATGTTAATGAAAAATATATAATATACACAAAAGAAACAAAGGCTATCCTACTCTTTTCTTCGTGGTTGTCTGTATTCAATTCCTATCTTATTTTTCCTATCTTCAATCCCTTCTTCTCTACCACAGGCTTCTTCCTGCAGCCTACAAAATTGCTAGGTTTTTCCCTGTCCTAAAAGATGACTTCCTCACTTCTGCTTTTCCCCTAAAGGCATTCATTTAATCTCTCTTATCTCTTTATCATCAAACTTGAAAGAGTGGCCTGTGCTCACTAGCCATCAGTTCAGTTCAGTCGCTCAGTAGTGTCCTACTCTTTGTGACCCCATGAACTGTAGCACGCCAGGCCTCCCTGTCCATCACCAACTCCCGGAGTTTACTCAAACTCATGTCCATTGAGTCAGTGATGCCACCTTCCTTTCTCTTCACTTCTAAGCCAATCACAATCAGGTTGCAATTTACTGTAATTGCATTCTTGACAGTCACCAATGGACTCTTAATTATTAAATTCTATAGCAGCCCTTTCTCAGAGTTAATTGTATGAGGTGGTTCAGTCACTAAGCCGTGTCCAACTCTTGCAACCCCATAGACTGTAGCCTGCCAGGCTCCTCTGTCCATGGGATTCTCCAGGCAAGAATACTGGAGGGGGTTGCTGTTTCCTTCTCCAGGGGATCTTCCTGATCCAGGAATTGAACCTGGGTCTCCTGAATTGCGGGCAGATTCTTTACCAACTGAACTATAAGGGAAATCCTATAATTGTATGAATTAGTCCCAAATGCAATTTATGACTGACTATAGATGTCAAAATAAATGCAAATATTACTTCTTTCAGTGATCAGGTCTGTATCATGATCATGTATTTTCAGAAATATCTTTGCTGTTATTTACATTATTATAGCTGTTAAATGGTATTGCCAGCAGCTGAATAGAGGATCAATGAGAGAGGGGAGGATTGGGAAAGGAGATGGTTGTGCTAAGAAGATACTTGCTGAGTTTGTAGTGCATTTGGAAAGTTCATCCAAGTGGAAAGATCCAGTTGTCCAGTTGGATATACGGGTCTATATTTTTAGAAGAGAGATAAGGACAAGACATATGGATTGATGGAGATTAATTAAAGTTGTCAGAGAGGTTGAGCTCATTAAAAAAGAAAACGTGGAGACAAAAGAGATAAGGACTAAGGCTGGCATCCTGGGGAATCGTTACATTTAAAGAATGGGCCAAAGAGAAGAACCCAATGAAGGGAAGTGGAATAGGAGTGGGCTTAGGTGTATGAGCAGAAACTCAATGCAAAGGACATAGAGTTGTAGATGGTGTCAAATGCTGATGGAAGGTTAAAGAAGGAGGCAAACTGCACACTTTCACTGTATTTGGCATTTTGGAAGTCATCAAGGACGTTAGGAAAAGAAGAATTAGTGATGGTGGAACCAAGATTAAAGTAAATTAATGAATACACTGGTGGTAGTGGTGAGAGAGGACTTATTTTCTCTTAGAAAGCTTGAATGAAAAGGGAAAGAGGGACAAATTTGTTAAGGTGGTAGATCTTATGTCCTTAAGTTACAGCTTTAAAGAGAGAGAGAGAAATAGAAAGAGAGAGCAAGAATGCTAGTGCAAAGACAAAAAACACAGGGCAAGAATACTGGGAAAGTTATAGCTTTCCCTCCTTCCCTTATGTAAAGGTATTGAGTATGTTCATAGTTCAAGAAACAGCAGTAATGAGAGTGAAAATATAGATACCAGAGGGTGATGGGGAATAATTCATGAAGCATGAAAGTAAGAACAAAGTGCTTTTGGAGAGAAAAAAAAGTGCCTGTTTCTCTTAAAATTATAATTATGTGATATATGTTTACAGAAGAAAAATCTAGACATATATTTCAAATATCAAGAATCTTGTTCTCTGGGTGATAGAATTACGCATGATCTGTATTTTCTCTTTATACTTGGGAGTTCTTCTTGAAATAAGAATGAATTTCTTTTATAACAATGATAAAAAACAAAACAAAAAATGTGATTGCTTGAGAGATCCATAAATTTGCCATAGAAAAGATTCATTTAAAGTCTACATTGCAAAAAAGTGACTGGGTTGGGGCTTTACCTTTCCCTTACTACATTTCTGGAGGAATAAATGCTAGTTTGTTTAAAATATAGAGATTCATGCTATGGTTATTACTTCTGACCCTTGTGGCAAGTGTGGTGGGATGGTGAAGTGGACTGTTTTGTTTATTGCATTTAATACACCCCTTTTCTTTTCACTCTCCCTTATGATATTAAACTTACAGTTTTTTTGATATCATTTTGGCCCCATGTCCTTTCTTTTAAAAAAAAAGGTCCACAGTGTCAGCACACCTCCCAACACTACTGCTGTGGATACAAAGAAATAACTAATGGAAAAAACAGAGAATGAGGGAGAAGGAACTTATCCCCAAAGTCTTGGACTAAAAGCTTGAGAGTTTCTCCATTTAGGACATAAGCTGAGACAGACCTTTTTGAGCTGGGAGCATTCTGAAATAAATTATTTTTTCTCTTAAAAAAAAAGAAAGTCACCACCTTACCAATTAAAAAGACAATTTGCAGATCTTTTATTTTTCTTTCATATGAAGGAAATAAACCTTCTGAAGAGAAAATGTCATCATTACAGAGAATCATTTACAGAAGGGCTTACACTTGGCATTTTTCAAAAACCATTTTTTTCTTTAAAAAAAAAGACATTCACAGTTGTGTTCTTCCCCCACCAACTGTGATGTTATGGCAAAAAAAAGAGCCACAGGGTGCAATTTTTTAGTTTTGGGCCAGGCTTGAGCAAACATAACATATGGTAATCAAACTCAGTTCTAAAGGTATATTGCTAAGTGAAAAAAGAAATGTAAGCACAACAAATATGTTGATGCATTTTAAACCGTGTTTTAAACCATAAGCATATGGCCAGATATTTAGTAATTTTTTTATTTTAGGCTAAGTCTGTTTGG